CCAAGACTGCATCAAGAATCTTTTGGGAATATGCATCAGACAATAATTTGAACCTCATCAGTTCTAGGGATTTTGGAACAACCAAAATTCTCCATCTTCTTTTCTCTTTGTCCACAGAAATTTCAGCAGTATGAATCAGACTTAACAGAATGAAATGTTAAATCAGTTTAATGAGTGCCTTGAGGTGAGTTTGAGAAGATTTTACCATGAAAACGTTGCTCACATTTCCACAGCTAACTTTGAGGCAAAGTTCATATCATTTCCATTCTAAACTTTTAATTTTCTACTCTAAACTTTTAATCAGACTAACACTAATTTAAACTCATTCTCTGTGCTTACTTTCAGATTCATATTATGACTGAAAACATGTGATTGCTCAGTATTTTCTCCTGTGCATGCCTGAAAGCCAAAAAAAAAAAAAAAAAAAAAAAAAAAAAAAAAAAAAAAAGCCAAAATTCAGGGAAAAAAGGGCTAGTATATTAATTTGAAGCAGAACCTGGCATAGTCTTTTTTCACTGATACTCTGGGAAATCTTTGTAGAACTGTCTAAGCAGCAAGCTGTTCAAATGGATGTAAGTGGATAGAGCAGGCTTTGGAGTAACAAGAAAAGCTGGATGAGCATAAACATTATCTGGCTCCATCGATTCTGCAGAGCTTCATCATAAATTCAACCAGAAACAGTATTATTCAAAGATCTTTTACTGTCAGATGTATACATGCATCAGAAGCTGACAACAGTAAAAGCAGCACTCCTCCTCCTTTCCTCCCTCATGCATGTACACAGTTTTTCTTTGCAGGACTTTTAAAACACTTTTAAAAAGTAAAAATCTCACTGTATATGGGAGAATTTTTGGTGTGTGCTTTCTTCTTTGAAACCATAGCTGTCAGATAAAATTCACCATTATTAAATAAATATTTATAATGCTGAAAATACGGATTACTTTTTAGAGTTCTACAGTAGCTACATGTGACGGAAGTCAGACTCATGGAACATATTCGGTGGTTTAATTGTTCAAAAAAAAACCCAATGTAACCAATAAATATTTTTGTCAGATGCTTCTAGAAATTAATTCCGTTGCCATACTTCACAATTCATTCTATACCCAAAATCTGCATGCAAGCAGTGAAAGCTGAGCTATGGAAATTTTCAGGGAAACTGCTGCAGCTCCTGCTTCAGAGGCATTTGAGGATAGTAGAAGTTAGAGCTGTAACAGCTGTACATTTCACCAGGGATGACACTCCAGTGGATCATCAAATTAGGGGAGTCTCCTATTAGGGAAGGACAAGGTACAAACACAGGTTTATTTGATCACACTCAGTTCCAGGAACAGCCTTATTATGAAAGAAGCAGCAAGCAGGGAGTATCAGGAGATTAACTACATTAGCAAAGACTGGAGTGGGTATGTTTCTTGTTATGTGACAGGATACAAGTACAGGCCTTTGAAGACTTCCTTTGGATACATTTCCATACTTGTATTCTGAATTTTCACAAAGACATTTTTTCTTCTAGTCAACACAAAACATTTTTTCTTCTAGTTATGATTCTAATTCCCTTTAGCTCAATTCTTTAACTATGCACTACTTACCATGGGAATTTCTTCAGGCCTCTTAAACATGCATATGCAAAGCAAAAGATAGGAATGATTAGCTCTTTCACATTGATTACCTCTTGTTATCCATCATATTTTCTGATACTTAAATCATGCCATAGCTAGATTGTTTTGTGCTTTTGGAGACCTCATTCATATGAACCCTTCTGTGTTTTGAATAAAGCATGCTTACATCTTCTGAACTTTGCTGTCTCATGTAATTAAGCCAAACAATCTGTGGTATGCTGTCAGCTGACCATGTCAGCACAACATGCTAGGCAGGTTATCAGTTGAAATGCAGGAGGTACACTTGAAAAAATACCTTCAAAGAGCCATATGTTCTCACTGGCAATATTAAAGGTCTGTTTACACAAATAACACCTACTTTTTGTCCATCTGCTGTCAAGCACTGTCATGCCTAAGTAGCCCTAAACCAGCATTCTGGACTGTAGACTCTAACAATGGAGGGAAATACAATGAAGTACTCAAACAATAGAAAATAGAGGGAGGAAGGGGTGAGCCTAACACCACGCAGCAGTTTATACTTCAGTGTAAGCACATCTGTATATTGACACACAAGCATATATGTAAAAATTAGACAACTATGCAATGACTTCAGTGTATTCATTTTCAAAATTTAAGAACTACAATTTCCATTTATTTAGGAGAATTAAAATATTGATGTCTTCTTATGAGAAGTATTATATTGGTAAAGATGGTTATAACTTAGATCCACATCCATGTGGATCTCATCTGACCAAAAATCAAAGATGTGGGTCTGCCTGCCTTGGTGGTGACAGAGAGTAGGAGCTGAGTATTCCCTCAGATGCCATGACTGCCTTCAGAGGAATTATTGACACAAATGATGTTCCAGTTTTGTCTTGGTATAACAGATTTTCTAATTTTATTCTTTCTTCTGTGTGAATTATTTAGGGACTGACTAGGAGTACGGGAGTGCTGCTGTATAACAGGCCTGCTTTTTTAAGATGAAAAAGGCTATATTGTTATAAAAGCTCCTGGGTAATGCCAAAGATCAGTAACTGGCAGAAAGAAATGTATATCCTCTATAGATTTTTATCAACTTACATCTTGAAATGTCTTATTGATAATGCAAATGAACTTTAAAACAGAAAAGGAAATTCACTTTATCCTGTCCCACAACTGTCACATGTAATTTCTCACTATAGGGCAACCCCTATAAACAAATTATAAAATTGAGTATGTTTAAAAGGACACAAACTAAATGCTTGGTAAATGTGGGGATGCTTTTTTACTGATGGACAAGAAAACTGGCCCCTAAAAATCAAAAAGCTCATTGAAACAATATTGTCAATGAAAAGAAATGCATCTGTCTCTTTAATAGCCAATGATCCTGCTGCATTCCCTAAGCAGCTCAACTCTTATGGATATTCAGAAGATCCACAGATCAGTTTTTCTCCACTGTTAACTACCAGGACCTTACTTCATGTATGAAGTACAGTTAATGTACAGTTTCACTGCACATTACCTTAGACATCAAAATCTTCAAAAAAGTCTGGAGGAGGGAGGCATATGGGTCATTTGGAGCCAAGATTGCAGAATAAAATAATAAAATGCAGATCTTATCTGTACCAGACAGGCAATTAGCTAAATTAAAATAATATCTTGCTGGTACATTTTTCTATTTAGGAGCAGACCCAACAGTAGGACTTAGATAGCTGTAAATGAGTTACTTCAATGCTTATCAGATATGTGGCCTCTGAAGTGGAATCCAAAAACTTGTTATGCACAGAACAAGTCCAGTACTTAATAAGTGTAAATTGCCCTAGAAGAATAATTTATAGAGCTGAGTACTAGAAACCTATAATGGAGAAGATAAACAGACATTATAAAAACACAAAACCAAAACAAAACACAAAGCCCCAAAATCCAAAATAAACCCCAACAACAAAACAAAACAAAAACAAACAAAAGCCCCAAACAAACAAAACCCCACCACAAAACCAGCTCTGGGTTTGAGACTTCCTCTCCCAGGAAAATCTTGTCACTTAAAACCGGTAACCTTAAATGAAAAGAAATAAAACATTCTAGGAAACAGGGACTTGAGTTACCTAGGAGTTCTAGCTGCTAAACTAGAGAGTCATATTCCCCCATTGATGCTCTACTTCTGGTGCCAGATCTTGGGAATCAGATACACATGCAAATTAATAGAGCTCATTAAGTTACCTTCTATCAGCTGAACCATGGTAACCAGCCTGGGGTACTCTTCTCCTGTGGCAAATGAGAGATAAACACTCAGTAACTCACACCTGGTGTCTATACTTAATGCGATTTAGCTGCTTGCTTTTCAGGCCACAACAGTCCAGGGCACCCATGGCGTACACGTATTCTTCACTGATGATTCTGTTAAAAAACCCCAAACCGACAAACATACAAAAACAAAACTAAAGACACTAAGTTTAGGTACTTCCATGGTTAAAGAGGGGCTCCCATTTGTATTTAAATTTAGAACTCAAGTATTTTAAATAACAAGGTCCTTTTTAGGAACCCTTTAACCTTACTGGACTTTAGCGAGAGTTCACAAGGATGTGAAGGGAGGTTGGCGGGACCTGAACGGCTGGGAGAGGGGACCCGACACCGCCCCGACTCAGGGCACGGAGAGAGGCAGCGGCCAAGCTGCCTTTGCCCGGGGCACGTTCCCCGCGCTCCGAGGGCCAGGACATGCTCCGCGACAGCGTCTCCTGCGCCGCCCGGTGCAGGGCCGCAGCAAGTTCGCAGACAAAGAATGGGGAGCGCCGGTGTCCGTCATGCCGGGCGCTGCTGTCCCCCGCGGGGCGGCGGTGACCGCGGGGCTCCCAGCCCCGCCAGGCTGCGGGGACGCCGCCGGAACGCCCGGCACCGCCCGTCCCCCGCGGGGGGCTGTCTCCTGCCCCCACGCCGGCCGAGCCCCCGGGCAAAGCTCGATGGAAGCAGGCGGGCCCCTCTCGCAGCCTTTGCCCCGCTCCTGCCCGCCGGCCGGCCCTACGCGCTGCCCCGCCGGCCGCTTCCGCGCCGGATCCGCGGCCGGGGCCTGCCCGGCCCAGCCCGGCGGGCAGCGCGGCCAGGGTTAACCCTGAGGAATGCGGCGGGAGGAATGTGCATGCAGATGAGATGGATGCTAATCTCATGCTAATGAGCGGCGGCCGCGGCCGCCCGGGGCTCAGCCGGGCTCCCCGCGCCCAGACGGCAGCTGGGCTCCGCCGGCAGCCCTGACCCGCCGCCACGGCGCGGGCGAGGCGGCAGCCGGGCATGGTGGACTGAGACCCGGCAGAGGGCTTCCCTGGGCTCCCGCGAGCCCCCGCTCCCGGCCCCTTCCCCGGCCCGGCCCGGGGCTTTTCCCGCTTCCCATCTTTCTTTCTGTCCCTATGGAGCAGCTACCCCCGCCGACCGACCATGCCTAGGAAAGCGGGGAATGGGCAGCTTCCCTTACCCGATGGCTGGGAGGAGGCGAGGGATTACGACGGCAAAGTCTTCTACATCGACCACAACACCAAGCAGACCAGCTGGATCGACCCGCGGGACAGGTGGAGCGCGGGCAGGGAGGCGGCGAGGCCCGGGCGGGCGGTGGGCTCGGAGCGGCCCCGCCGGGAGGGACGGGCGGGGGGCGCGCCGGAGGGTCCCTTCTAGGGCCGGGGAGCGGGGGGACAGGAGAAGTCCCTGCTTGCAGCCGGGCACACCGTGCCCTCCTGCCCACAGGCAGGGCTATAGGCTTGTTTCTAAGCCTGTGGCGTGAGTTGGTGTTGGGGCGGGGAGGGAGAAGCCTGTAGAGTTCCTCTGGGAGCGGCCAGGGGTTGCTGGCGTTTGGGGAGTTCCGACAGGTACCAAAGTTTGCAAGTCCCTCCCAAAGCGGAGGCGCTGGCTCCTCGCCCTCCCTTTCCTCTCCCCCGGGCGCTGCGGAGCGGGGCCGCCTCCCCCCTCCTGGCTGGCGGAGCATCCCGGGCGCGGGGCCCTGCCGTGTGCCCCGCTGCCCTGGCCCGCCCGGAGCCGTGTGCGGGGCTGCCGGAGGCCTCGTGTGCCTTGCTAGGCCTCAGCGAGCCCAAACCCGCTCAGCCTCCGCCGGCCGGAGCCCGCCGTGTGTGCTGCCCCTCCCGGGCTGAGCTCCGTAAAACTCCTGTGGAAATGCTTCGGCGAGTGAAGCACCCTGCGCCGAGGCTGCTCGTCCCTCAGTGCCCGGGCAGCTCTGCCGGCTGGACACGGATGCTGGCTCTGTGCTGGACACGGATGCTGGCTCTGTGCGCCGGCTTCAATGACTGTTTGCAATAGCTGCATCACAGGCGCACAAGATACCTCAAAAACGTATCTTTTGTCCGAAGTGCTGCTGCTGAATAGTAATGACACCCCAAAACTTTGTGCGTATTATGAAATACAGTGTTGCAGTTGGAAAAAGTGCAGTCTTATTATTTAAAAAACCAAAACCAAACAGACTTCTAAAAGACACTATAAACTTATGAAAAAAGCAGCACTGAATTATAAATGAAGGCCTTGGTTTATGTTTCTCAGGTGAACTTAGGAAAGGTGGTTGTGGCGAAGCTTGCTGGCTGCAAGTTGCAGAGGGAAGTTTTGACGAGCATCATGTGCTGTGTAAGGCCTACTGCTCAGTCTTACTTGCTATAACAGCAAATTCCAGTAGTGGCGAACTTCATGCTTAAATTCCTCTATACTTCACAACATGTTAATTACCTTGTAAATATTATGAGGTGATAAGGTATACAGGACAATGTTATTTATTACACCTGGCATTCTTGGGTGATTTTTTTTTAATGCAGGCAGTATAAAATTTCTGTCTTTACTGTCTCTAGAAATAGAGGATATGAAGTTTTGTTCAGTTTTAGACCTTAAATGTGTGTTTTCAAAGCGGAATAAAAGATAGTATGATTGAGGCAAAGCAAAATGTGATATGGAATGTACTCGTTCTAATACTGTCTCAATGAGTACACTACTAATTCAATTTAATACATTCTGTAGTCCTGAAAAGTTCAAGACTATTCATATTTGATGGTAAAATTTGAGTCTTCACTCTCATGAACAGAGTAGACAGTGACATAACACTTGTGTGTTTGCCATCCTGTAGGGATAGGATAAATATAATTTCATTAATGCCTTACAGGTGAAAGGGAAACCAAGTCCTGAGACCATACTCCCTTAGTTCTCATTACAGATTATAAAGACCTTTTCAGAGTAGTAGTGTTTGAAATAATTGTTAACCTGCGTCAGTCATGCAAAACAAACAAAAAGGGATTTTGCCCTAGGTACTTAAGAGAATCCATGCTTTAGTGTACATGGCTCAGCTGTGAAGCTGAATTGCCTGCACAGAAGAGAGACTGACAAGCCCATTTGATGTGCAAGTTGCAGTATTTTTATTTACAGTATCTTTGTTTGCAGGTTGTATTTATATTGGTGACCTGTATCGGAAAAACTAATAAGAAATTGGTGCAAGTCTTGTGGTGATTTTGCTTTAGATTCAGTTTTATCTTCCATGTATTTAGAGCCTATACATTTGGAAAGCATACAGGAGATTATTTGGGCTTGCTGTCAGAAAAGTTGAAAAGTGATTTTCCAAGTTTGTCAATACAATAAAAACTGGATTAATGTTGTTTCTAAAACTCATAATGAGTTGTCAGAATGAAGGTAATAGATTATAAAGAATGACTGAAAACTTGTTGCCTTGTCTGGTGATACTTTAGGACTTTTTTCCCCCAACTATTTTCTCTCATAGAGATCATAAAGTTTTCATGGTGTACCTGTGGAATATTATAGTACACAGGCTTCCAAAATGTTTCATTGGTAAGGCAAGTGTAAAATAGATAAGTTTTTACTGATAATATTCCTTCTGCTGATGTTACACTGCATTCCCTGGATGATTATATAGAAAAGTCATGCTTGATGTTCTAAAATAATTTTTATCTTCTTTGATTTAGAAGATACAAATACTGAAGACTAGTGCTGTGAGACATTAGCCATATGTTTGTAAATTGCCAGGTGTATTTGAGCACAGTTGGGAACTTTGTTACTGGTTTAAAATATTCACATCTAGAAATAAGAGGACAGTTGAAAATGCCATATTTGAAAGCTTCTTGGAAATTTGTGTTTGTGGTTGTTGTGCTTTTTAATATTTTTTTCCTGTGTTCTTTTGTACAACGTGTATTTGTTACTGCTTAGGTGGTGCAGGTCTGTTAATACAATTATAGCCTTGTGTACAACTGTGGAAAAAAACTTACATCAGCTTCAAGCTTGGGACTCAGTTTTGCCCACTTTATGTATTTGAATAATCCCACTGAAGTTAGAGAATCTCACACTTTCAAGGGCAGTAGTGACTTAGCTTGTGTTTTGGGAGTGTTGTGGGAGCTCCCACAACACTCCCAAATGGGGGAGTTCCCACAACACTCCCAGATGGGGTTTTTAATGTTTTGCAATGTTCAGCAGTGATTTTTCTCTCCAACTACTTACTGTACTGGGCTGATTTGTTTTAAAGGCTAGTGTCCCAAAAGAGAGGGCCACTTGAACTTTAAGATCTATAATTTAGAGAGAGAGACAAAAAGGCAAGAATGTGAGACTTGTAGCAACATTTTCAGTCACAAATATATAGATGTGATTTCTCTGTTCATTACTCCCTCAAGCTACAGCAAGCTGAGAACTTGCTGGTCATGACAGTTTTCTGGAACTGGCTTATTGTAAGCAGAGAAACAGACCAAGTATAAATTTTATCCTTCTACTTCTTGACGAAAATATTAGAAGATAGCTATGGACTGAAGAGGATGAAGCAGATGAAAAGGGGAGAAAGGGTTAGAGGAATGCATACTGGTTTTTGAAGTTCCCTTGAAACTCTTTCAAGTTCTTGGAATACTGAGTAATTGTAAAGTATTGCTTTGGGTTTTTTTTATTCTGTTAATTAATAGGGGCTTGAGTGGGACAGGAATTTGAAAAGGGAAATTCTTCTATTTTTCCATCATTTAACACATTTTAAGTAGGCCTCATGTTTGTTATATTCCTTTGTGGAACCAACAGAATAACGCACCAAGGAGGAATGAAATGGAATCTCAGTAATTTGAATTTTTCAGCAGTTGGATAATCCTTGGTTTTCTTACTATGAATTCAGGGCTTCTCATATCTTGGTTTCTACATAATAAATAGTCCAATGCACACTGCTGATCACCATTGACTCAAAACAGATGGGGTTTTTTATTGCTTGCCTATAATGAGTTCTGCATCACAAATTCTGAAGCTGCAAGTGATCTTCATTTAAATCCTTATCTGCACTCCTGTCCCACTCCTGTCAGTGGTAAGGAATGCGATGCTATGAAAACAAAATTATCCTTTCTGTTCTCACTTCACTTTCCATTGAGGTCTAAAACCTTTTAAAAATACATCTGTACATTTGAAATAGTTTATAGTATACTTCTGCTAAAACGTTTCGAGAGTACTTGCTAGCCATATAGCTAAGAAATTGCTTGAGAAGCATTGGATGTCAGAAAACCAGAGAACTTTACAAGTTAAGAGATTGTGAAAGAGTGTGCTTTGTGAGTAGGGAAAGCAGTTTCCATTGCTGCTCTCTCATCTTTTGGGGAGGTGAAAACGCTACAAATTTTAGCATGGGATTTTGTAACTTCTGCTAGATTTGCCTGAATTAGAAAATTTACTAGGTTTCAGCAATTAAATGTAATTTTCCCTTTTTCCATAGAAAAGGGCAGCTTTTTCCTTACCTTTTCAGTGGAACTTGCTTTCTCTTGTCTTGTGGACAGCAGAGACTGTGAGGACTGAAGATACTGAAGTTATTTAAGCAGGGGAACTTTCATCCTGTCTCTTTCCTGGACATTGCTGTAGCTCAGGGATGCATGGTAAAAGACTTTCAGTCACAGCAGAAGCAGGAGTCATATAAGACACTGTGCTCATTAAAGGTAGCAAATAAGAGGCAAGAAGAAATGAAATAACATGGTGAGAGGCATCATCAGAGACTTGAAAATACATTTGGATTGATTCTTTCATGCATGTAAGAGAGTTGTGCTGTGACAGATGAATAAAATAATGTGTTAGTTATTACAGCTTGAAAGGGATTGATCTTAATTCTGTTTTAAGTGCTGACCTCAACATTGATTATTTACCACTGCAGCAACTACCTGATAATGGCCTTTATTTAGGCTGCTGCTTGCTAAGACCGAATTTACCATCACTGGTTTCTCACATCGTTTCTCATTCCCTTTCTATCTTCCCTTCCCTTGTTTGCTAGTAACTGAGGAGGGAATGAGGCTTTCATGTTTTTGATGGTGTGGAGCTGCTAAATGATTGTTTCAACATACTTAATGACATTTGAGTCTTAATAAGCAATGTTCAACTTGCTCTTTTGAAAAATTAGTAGAGAATCCTTTGATAGTACTCCAAGATATACAGCTTGAAATAATCCTGTATGAGATAGGGCAACAATTTTTTTCCGAGATATCTTTTTCTTCCCTGTTTTATCCTGTAGAATAATTTGCTGGTTTTTATCCCAATTCCACCTAATTTATTTCTTGCCTCCTTGTCTGCTCAG